CAGCAGCACCCCCACCCCAGGTCTCTTCCCTGAGCATGTGGAGCTTGAGTGGGTGAACTATCTGGTCTGATTTAGATGTTCTAAAAAAAAAAAAAAAAAAAAAGGCCTTAAAGTTATTAAAAAAACTATGGAAAGGACTTTGATAAGAATTTTTATGTTGATTGAGAAATGAGAATGTACTTAAGTAATAAAGAGGGAAAGGGAAAGAGAAATTTGTCTAAGAATGTCTAAGAAAATCAGAGAAATAAACTATACCTTTTATATAGAAAATTATAGAGAGTTAAAGCAAGTCATAGAAGGTTAGAGAAAAGGTTGTTAAAAGAGAAAAATGTAAACATGGCTTCTCATGTCTACAAATAGTAAATTTTAAAAATGGTAATATAAGTTAAAATTGTAACCATATTAAGCTAATTCTGTTTAAAAAGTCCTGTTTATTTCTCAAGTAATTTATGTATACTTTTTTTAAAATGTTCTGTTTCCTGGTATAACCTAAGCTCTGTTACAAGCATGTAGCTAAACAAATGGTGCAAGCTACTGCCATTTTGTAGCCAGCCACATGGCAAACTGGTCACATGGCTGATTGGTAGCCATTTTGCTGAAGTTGAAAAAAGATACTTAAACCGCCATCTTGTCTAAAGGTAACAGCATGGAAATTAGAAGTACCATCTTGGAAACAAGTTTTTCAGTTAAGATTTAAAATGTTAATGCTTCTATATATTACAGAAAGACATTAAGGGAATTTAAATTTCTTTTTAAAACCATTTTTAAATGTTTATGTTTTTTAAATGTTTGTTTTTATTAATGCTCATACTTAAAGAGCTTCAATTTAGAATCATTTTTAAGCAAAGCCTGACAATGTAAAGTTCTTGTTTTATAAAAGCTGCTAATCCATTATAAGATGTTACAGTTTATGTTTTCAGAAGTTAAGTTTAGAGCATTGGTGGCACATGCCTTTAATCCTACCACTTGGAGGCAGAGGCGGGTGGATCTCTGTGAGTTTGAGGCCAGTCTGCTCTACAGAGTTAGTTCCAGGACAGCCAGGACTGTTACACAGAGAAACCCTGTCTCAGAAATAAGTTTAAACAAAAGCAGCTAAAATATGTACATGTAGCTACTGTTTAAGGACTATAAATAAGGTAACTCTCTGCAGTCTTAAATTCAGCTGTGCTAAGTTTCAAATATTTTACTAAGTTAAAACCAGTTACAGTC